ACCACAATGGAAATATACTTAGCTATCCAAATCCCAGCCATAGGGCTATGCTGGTTGGGAATTGTAACAGACTTAGTCCCTATGTATCAGCTTAAAGAAGCTCTTTTATCAAATTGTCTCAATCTCTGAAAATGATATCATAACTAATTATCATATAATGGCTTCCTTTTATAGCTCTGTCATGTCTTTCAGAACATTGGAATCACAATCCTGATAGCTGCCTGTCATCGTGAGTATAGGCACAGTGGTGGGATTCAAATTTTTTTAGTATCGGTTCTGAGGGCGTGGCAGGGGAAGGATACTGTAAAATCTCCATTCCCTCCCGATCAGCTGGGACTCGTGAGGAAGAGAATAGATGGGGGTGGGTGCCAGTCAGAGGTGGTATTTACTGGTTCTCCAAACTACTCAAAATTTCCAGAACTGGTCAGAACCTGCTGGATACCACCTCTGGTAAAGGTATAGTAATTATCTATATGCAAGATAGACAATAGATAATGTAACCCAATTGTAGGCTATAGCATGAACTGATAAACAAACAAACAAATGTCTCTTTTTTAAAAAATAATTCTACAACTGCATGTAATATTTCTGCCTTTTTATCTCACAGCCACTGTGATAAAAACTTTTGAAAATAATGATTTCTTTGACCAATGTGTTACTAAAGCCCGGTTCTTTCCTACTCTGCATGATGCAATACTCTTCGCTGTGGAGCCAAACCTCTTGGAAGAGATGGTTCCAATGGAAACCCAAAATGAAGCTCCTGAGGATGTGATGGCAGGAATGAATTTAGATGATGAAAAGGTATGATACTTAAGTGAAGGTTCATGATAAATGTACCAACGTGATTAACACTGGAAAGCCTTCATTTCAGTCTATGCATTATAGTTACAAGGGACATCTCAGAATACTCCCTGTGAAGATGATTTGCAATTATTTTTAATTCATTCCTAGGATTTTGCTGAACACTTATATTGTTCTGCTACATGGTTCATGATTCAGATTTCTTCCTGTCATTGACATAATCTTTTTCAAGATTCTCTCTATCCCTAGATTAAATATGTCAACAATGATTATTACAGTGCTTATCCTCTTATAGTGCTTATCCTGCTGCCAGTCCAGTATGACACTCAGTTGTGTTTCTAGGAAAAACACACTGCACCTAGGAAAAGCCAATAAAAATCATCCAACCAGAATCTTCCATGGATTTCAACACAGCTGAGATGCTCCCTATTAAGCTAAATGTACAGAGCAGGATTATGTCTCATTTTGCCAATCTGCTGATTTTGCCAGCCTCTCTCTGAGGGTTGCACATTCAGGGAAACACCTAAACAATAAAGGGACACCCATGTATAGTATAAGGTAAAGGTTGCCCTTGCACATATATGCTAGATGTTCCTGACTCTAGGGGGTGGAGCTCATCTCTATTTCAAAGAGCCAGTGCTGCCCAAAGATGTCTCCATGGTCATGTGGCTGGCATGACTAAACACCGAAGGGGCACGGAACGCTGTTACCTTCCCACTAAAGGTGGTTCCTATTTTTCTACTTGAATTTTTATGTGCTTTCGAACTGCTAGGTTGGCAGAAGCTGGGACCAGTAATGGGAGCTCATTCTGTTACATGGCACTAGGGATTCGAACTGCTGACCATTCTGATCGACAAGCTCAATGTCTTAGCCACTGAGCCACCGTGTCCTGATTATTTAATACCTCTAGATCAGAGGTCTACAAGCTGTGGGCCATGTTGGTGGCCTGTTAGAATCTGGGCCACACAACTGGAGATGAGTGGTGGGCAAGCGAGAGAAACCGAAACCATTCCCCTCTCCCAGTCCATGGAAAAATTGTCTTCCATGAAACGGATTCCTGGTGCCATAAAGGTTGGAGACTATTGTTCTAGAGCATCTACATCAGGAATGTCAAATTCAATTTCATTGAGGACCACATCAGGGTTGTGTTTTATCTGTGGGGGCAGCCAGTGTATGTGTGTGTGTGGCTGGGGGTGTGGTCAGGGTGGGCATGCCTAGCTCTACATCACTCATCAAAGCTCCATTTTTGGCCATGATGGTCTCCTGCAGCCCTTTGCCAGCAAAAATAGAGCTCAGGGAGGTCTCATGCAGCCCACCTGGGCTCCATTTTCACTGCAGAGGGCTGCAAGAGACTCTCGTGGCTGAGAGCCTGGACCGGCCATTTATGGCCTTTCCAAGCTTCGTTTTCACTGGCAGATCTGTCTCCTGGGCCTTGAGTTTGACACCCCTAATCTACATGAATGCAGCTACAAACGTATCTTTTTATAGCTGCCATACTGATGTGAAGACATCAAGGGTGAGGGCAGGAAGGAACATTACTGTGTTGTGATACATACATTGCAAAATATTACCTTTCCCACTTTTCAGATTTAATCTATGTGCAGAACAAACATATGCAGGTGTCAGCCCTTCATTCAAAAATCAGGAAAGAAAACCACAGGAATTGGTAGAAATCAAGTGTACTTTTACTAATTATAAATGAATAGAAGTGAAGCTAAGCGAAGACTGGTTATTTAGGCGCAAAAGCGNTGCCAAGATGTCTGATTTATTAAACTGGAACTTTAAGGATCGTTTTGCCTTGGACTCTGATTTAATTCTACATGATACTTGGAACGCTGACATTATCCCAGTTCTCCCTTAAGAGACGTTATCGGCATCCCAAGCTGGGAAGCTGTCAGGGGGTACTGAATCCAATTTGGCTTTGTGTGACCACACGATTCATTTAATGATCATTGTAAAAATGGTCATAAAATGGAGCCCAGGCCAATAGTGATTCACCTTATGATTGCAATGACCGATGAGTAAAATTCTGGATTCAACTGTGGTTGTAAGTCAAGGACTACTGGCTGGGGATTCTGAGATGTCCAGACATCTTAATGATGCCAAGGTGGAGAAACACTGTTCTAGGATGTTTTCCTGCCTTTCCTGGAAATATCAGACAGCTATTCTGCTTGGCAAACAAGAATGCTACCACTAAACTACATTGCCTTCCACCCCCCTTCCCCCTTGTTGTGGTCCTTATGAATATTGCTCATTCACAGCTGCTATTTTATCAAGAGAGGAAACAAAAAATACAAAAGTATTTGAGATCTTTCTATAAAGGCCAGGCGAGTGATGGGTGTATTGACAGGGACAGCTGGATAACTGACTTCAGAGGAGTTCAAACTATTAACCAAAATATTCAGGTTTCTATAAGGAACTAACAGAATTAGACCAGATATTAACAGGGGCAGATTAAAAACTAAGAAAGAAAATATTTTTTAACTATCAAGATGGAAGATGAGCAAGTAAAGGAGACAATGATAGTATGGGCTAAAAAATTTGGTTATCCAACTGAGTTAGATAAATGGCAGAAACTATGGGATAGAAATTATAAATTAACGTCGTCAACTGCATATAAAGAAAACCTTTATAAAATGTTTTATAGATGGCATTTTCCACACTAAAGGTTAGCAAAGATGTTTAAGGATATGTCTGCAAAATGTTGGAAATGCCATCAGATACCTAGTTTGTAATATCATATGTGGTGGACATGCCCCAAAGCAAAAACATATTGGACAAAAATACATACATGATTGGAAAAAATGGTAGAGCAACATCTTGATCGGAAACCAGAAATATTTTTGTTGGGCATTTTACCGAATAAGTACAATAAAGGGAATGCATCTTATTTTACATGTATTGGCTGCAGCTAGAATTGTATTTGCCCAACAATGGAAAAGTGAAGAGATCCTACAGATGAAAATGTGATTGAAAAAAATACTAAAATGTGCAGAAATGGACAGGCTAACACAATTAAGAAAAAGAAAGAAACTGAATATTTTTTTAACTTGGATTTATTTTGTCAATGGTTAGCTGATAAAAACAGGAATTAGAAACGGGGAAATATAAGGAAGGGATCAATGATATAAGGAGGTATGTTAAAATGGATAAGTAGTTATAGTTATTATTGTTACTATCATTATTATCATCAGCACCGTCAGCATCATCAATACTAATGTAATGAACACTGTTGTAAATATTTTGATTACTATCTCCTAAAACTATTTGTACTCAGACAACACACTGTTTAATTGAAAATGGATTTTTTATATGTTATAAAATAAAATAAAAACTTGATGGAAAAAAACCCAAAATATTCATTCGAGGCAGGGAGCTTTTAAAGAAAGGTTAACACTTGCTGTCAAAATAGCTGGTGTCTTCCTCGGATTCCAGATGAGGAATGAACTCAGCTTTCTGCCTCAGAAGCCCATTCCAATCTAGTTCTTTGAAAAACGAATGTTGTTTCACTTCATAGGCGCCACCTGTGTAAATGAAGGAAAACAAGGGTTTGCTGTCCTCTACTGGACGAGATCAAAAATCACTCTAAGTAAAATGATTGAGCCAAGCAGCTACCATGATGCTTAGCTAAGAAATTTGGATCCTGTTGCCAGAGATACTTTATGGAGAGAAAGGATGGGGTACTGGGAATGCTTCAGTGGTGAGTTGCACATCCCGTTTCAACCGGTACGGTTGGAACGGGGCCGGTGGCGTCCTCGTGCATGCGCACAGTTCACACATGCGTCTTAGTGCCTGCACGATGCTCCAGCTGCTCGCGGAGAATCGCGCAGGCGCTGTATGTGCCATGCGCCTGCGCGGAAGCGCGGAAGCCTTCAAAGACCGGTAATATAGCAGTAATAGCAATAGCAGTTAGACTTCTATACCGCTTCATAGGGCTTTCAGCCCTCTCTAAGCAGTT